GGGCTTGAGCTAGACTTGTTATAGATAACAGATTGTGAAATGTTTGGTTCAAATTTATGAATATTTATGAATATTGAAAATTTGACCATTTGAGGAGGTGCTACCACAAGGAGTGGACTAATGGGTCCCATCTTCAAGCTTGATCTGGACTTGGTAAAGATAATAGGTTGTGCAAAATTTGGTTCAAATTGGACATTCCATTCGCCAAATATTGGATTCATAAATATTAAAATTTTGATCCTTTGTGGGGGAGGTACCAAAAGGAGTGAACCGATAAAACCCAGCTTCAAACTTGATCTAGGTCTGGTTAATAGAATAGTTTGTACAAAATTGGGTTTAAGTCGAACCCTCCAATCGTCTGATATTATATTTATAAATATTGAAAATGTTGACCCTCTGTGGAGGAGGTACCAGTAGGAACATGGGACAAATGTGTCCCATCTTCCTACTTGATCTAGGCTTGGTAAAGATAATCGATTGTACAATGTTTCGTTAAAATCCGATATTCCGTTTGCATGTTATTATAAAATTAATTTTTAGCACAATTTTGAACATTTTATGGGGGAGGTACCAGAAGGAGTGGACCGATATTCCCCATCTTAAACTAAGTTTGGAAACGGAGACAATCGAGCATCTTCTGTGTCATTGCCCAGCCCTGGCTTACAGGCGGCACAGACTAGTGGGTGCCCAGCTTCTTCTCAACAACCGAACCTGTTCTAATCTACAGCATAATTAGAAACCTAAAGTGGTTAGGAACATACAACCTTGACACGTAACACATCTCCTAGAGCCATCGACCTTCATTCCTCTTTCATTTATTTATGTAAGCTTCTCAACTCTTCTTTATTTCCCTAATCTTCTCTCTCCTACAGATCTGTTTTTATCTCTTCTCTTCACTATATCTCTTCTTGCGGGTGATCGCAACGAACCTAACCGGTCTCAGAGTGCTGCAGCCACTTAAGTGACTGCACATCCCCAAACCTAACCTAACATCAAAATAATTAAAATTATGGGATATCATTATGTGGAAACTATCGACCGATATTGTTAAAATTTAGTTACAGTTTTCGGGATATACCGAAGCTATACCGATAAATTCCATTTTCAATATCAAAAATCAAATGTTTCAGTCAAGTTCAAATGTCTATTTTAAATACTGTGAGCTCTATCGTGATTGCAACAAACCGATCTCACTTTTATCGATAGTAAACCATGGACAGATCTTCTGTTTTCTATTTTTTTTTTTTTAAAGATTATTTCTATATTTTTTTATTTAGATGGTCTTCTGCATATAGAATGCTTTATATCAATAGAAAATCTAAAGAATGGCTTCTGTTTGTGGAAGGCCTTTGGAATGTCTTCCCTCTACAGATGACCTATAGAAGGTATTCCGCCTATATACCTGACATATAGTAGGTTATCTCTCTATTGAAGATCTATTTTCAATAAAAAATATGGGTCTCTCTAGAAGGTCTGTCTATGTATAGAAGATCTTCTAACTGAAAAAACCCTAAAAACATCAATTGAAACAGTCTTGTCTCAATTTTTTTCCTTTTTTGTAATTTCCTCCCCCACACAATAAAAAGTAACATTTTTATTGTTTTCTATCACCTTTCATATTTCAAATTGTATTTTAATTAAATATTCAACTTGCAGCTGTTCATATTCCACTCAAGTCAAGACATTTGTTTAATATTTAAATTATTGTTGTTGCTGCTGTTATTGTTTGAGATAATTACATTTTGTATAATTTTTGTTCGTTCTATCCCGGAGATAGAATTACACACCAACACCAACAATATCATCCGCAATGGAATACACTTGACTTGAAAAATATTGACAAGTTGTAGTTAAGAAAACCACAAACCAAATAAAATTAAATGTTAAAATTTGAATTCATTAACCTTTTGCGAAAGAAAACCACATTTTTGTAATTTTTCTTGAACTTGTCTAGGAAACATAGCATTGACAGGCCTTCAAAAAAAAAAAAAAAAAAAAAAAAACATAGATATTATAGAGGGAAATAAGGAATACTAGCATATGCCCGCAACTTCGTTAGTGAATGTTGGAAATATTTAAAAATGTATTAACATATTATTTTATTTTTAGATAAAACTGCATATGTCTGAAAAAAAACAATCCACACATTAATATCGAGCATAAATTAAATTTGAGTACCATTTAGTACCAAATTTCATGATTCGAGCTCTAAAGGTTCACCCAAATCCAAATTTTACCGAATTTTCCATTGAGCAAACATTATTTCCATAAGTACCCTCCTCAACCATCTAACTAAACTTCCTGCATACCCCCATCCTACACCACCACAATGATTCCAAATTCAAATTTCAGGATTCCAACTCTATTAATTCACCCACAATTAAAATTGTACCGAATTTAGTAGTAGAATTTCCAAAACTTCCTACTTAACCCAAACCAACACCCCCACAGTGATCCTAAATCCATTTTCAGGATTCAAACTCTATCGGTTCAACCACAATTTAAATTGTACCAAATTTAGTACACAGTAGTACGAATTTCTAAAACCTCCTTCTTACCACAAATCTACACCCCCATAGTGATCCTAAATACAAGATTCAGGATTCAAACACTATCGGTTCACCCACAATTCAAATTGTACCAAATTAAGTACACAGTAGTACCAATTTCCAAAACTTCCTACATACCCCAATCCTGCACCCCCACACTGATACTAAATTCAAGTTTTAGGATTCCAACTCTATCGGTTCACCCACAATTCAGATTGTACTAAATGTAGTACATAGTAGTACCAATTTCCAAATCTTCCTACATACCCCAATCTTACACCTCCACAGTGTTCATAAAGCAAAATTTCAGGATTCCAACTCTTTCGGTTCACCCAAAAATCAAATCGTACTAAATTTAGTACATAGTAGTACCAATACCCTCCTACATACTCAATCCTACACCTCCACAGTGATCTCAAATTCAAGTTTCAGGATTCCAACTCTATCGATTCACTCACAATTCAAATTTTACCAAATTTAGTACACATTTCTAAAACTTCCTACATATCTCAAACTTACACCTCAACAGTGATCCTGACTACAAATTTCATGATTCTAGCTCTATTGGTTCACCTAAAATTCAAATTGTACCAAATTTAGTACCATTTTGTACCCATAAGTATTATTTTCTTATTGTTCCCACTCTATCGGTTCACAAAAATTCAAACTGTACCGATTATAGTACGATTTAGTACTTTTCGTACACATAAGTAACAAATTTCCAAAACTACGTTCATATCCCATTTCTACACTGCGACGGTAATTTTAATTTCAAATTCCAGGATTCCAGCTCGACTTGTACCTCCAAATTAAATTTGTACCAAATATAGTGCCATATAGTACTTTTTGTACACATGAGTACGCGCTTTCAAAACCATCTCCTTAAATGGACCCTACTTCTCAACCTTAATTCACACTCCAAATTTCAAGTTTTTAACGCTATTCGTTCGCATGCTACAGAATTGTACCAAATTTAGTACATTTTCGTACTTTTCGGATAGTTATAGTTCGAATTTCCAAAAACCCTTTGCTACTTCTATCCTACACTTCATCAACGACCACCAAACCAAATTTCAGAGTTCTAGCTCCACCGGTTCGCCAAATACAAATGGTATCACATTTAGTATATTTTAGTACTTTTTGTACCGTTCTAGTACAAATTATTTCCAAAAACCCAGCCAGATTTCATATCGAGATCATCTCATCAAAAGCAACTTCTAAAAATATCGATTAGTCCAAAAATGTTTAAATAAATTAGTTCCACCCAGTCATCTATCAAACTTTTACAATTCCACTCTGGCAACACCAAGTATTTTTGATCCCTTAGAGCAAGCCACAACCTCTCAGCCAACTCAGGACGCTTCTTCGGTACACCTCTCTCAAAGCCTTCGACTGATACCCAGGCAGAAGTAAACCTTTTCAATCAGTCGGCAGCATATCCACCTACCATATTTGATCCCATTGAACAAAATACCAATTCTGCTGAACCACCCCGTTCAGCAAGCTCATCATCTAGACCCTATAATACCTATAGGTGAGGCAGTTAGAAGACTAAAACTAACACCGATTTCAATTTGCTATTGCTTTCAACAATTTCCAATTTTTTACTCACCCCCATGCATCCTTCGGATTATTTGGAGTTGGAGTTCCACAACATCTTCAAATCAAGATCCACAAACTTCAGATCAGGTCTTCCAGCCGCTATCATCTGTCCTGTCTGCTCCAGTTCAATTCTTCAATCCCTTACAGGTTACCTTGGGAGGCAATCAAGCACCTCCACAATCGTCTGGAGCTCAAGAACCCTTGAGACCACCATTAACACCACATCAGGGACAAGTATCTCAAACTCCTGCAGTCAAATTTTTCAACCCCTTACAAGGACCCATTGTTGATCAACCACCCGCTTTACCACTATCATCTTCTGCCGGTGTTCCACAGAGACCACCATAATCAACAAGTCAAGCTTCCACTGACCAGCAGCCCACCAATAACAAGAACTCTTGAGACCACCATCAACACCACATCAGGAACAAGTCCCTACCTCCTGCAGTACAATTTTTCAACCCCTTACAAGGACCAATTATTAATCAAGCACCCACTTTACCACTATCATCTTCTGCCGGTGTTCTATAGAGACCACCATCATCAACAAGTCAAGCTTCCACTGGCCAGCAGCCCACCAATAATGGAAATCAAACTTTTGAACACATCTACACGAATCGAATTTCAGCTTTGGACCTTAGATGGGCTTTTTATTTATTTTTTTTATCTTCGACAACCCTTTTAATTTGACATTTTCCATATTAATTTTTATTTAATTTTCTTTTCTTCTTATTCTTCTCCACCTTTCAGAACCCAAATCATTGGTAACTGTCGGCTCATCATCATTGGATACGGAAAATCTCGATGAAATCAATTTGAACGCATCCAACGAAGAGAGCACAACCGCCGATGCCAATGCAAATCCTCTATGGGAACAGCAATCAACGACAAGTGATTCAATTTTAAGTCAAGCAGCTTCATCGTTTTCCGCCCTACCATCGGTAGCATCGAATGTGTTCTCATCGTTTTCGAAACGTATAACGGGAATATCAAGTCGTGAGACTACACCAGGTTATGAAACGTCAGCCGCGGATCCAAATGGAAATTCCAATGTGCCACAATTAGATATACAACCGAACTATACGCAGCAGCAACAACAACAACAATTTCCACCATCACAGCAGCAACAACAATATCAATATTCCGCCGCAAATCAACCACCACCTGATCAACCATTCTATGCCCCTCCTCCACTTGCGACTGAATCTACCGGAGCTGCTTATGGTTTTCCCTCAGGACTAGATCCTACAGCTAATCCAAATATACCACCAGCTGAACCACCAAAATTCTATACACCAGCTGAAATACCACAGGCTCCACCATCGGCAGCCGCTGCACCACCACCCTCCTCGGCAGGGGGACAAAATAATTTCCGTTTTTCGGCAAAGAAAAAACTTTACGCTCCCATACCAGGTCTATCGGATCAACAGCAACAACAACCTGGTCAAGCAGCACTCTTTCAACCTGCAGCACCTTTACCAGGTGCTATACCACCAGCACCATTTCCCTCAACGGATCCCTATAGTCAAACTCCCACATATCCTACGGAAGAACGTAAATCTGAAGAACGTAAAGGTGGTCTCTTCTCGAAAATCACCCAACTTGCTCCCGCTGGTGTTCTACAAAATATAACGGGATTAGTGCAATCGGCAGCTGGTACCATAACCCAGACCATAAACCCAAACGCCGGATCGCAGACCCCAAGTGGAAATAATTACGAACAACAGTATCAACAGCCACAAGGCGGTAATTTTGGCATACAATTTGATCAGCAGCAGCAACAACAACAGGTTGGAGTGGGATATCCTTTGCCACCACCACCGGCCACAAATTATTTTGCAACTCCCAACTATTCTGGAGAACCCCAGGCCAATTATACACCTCCTCCACCGGCAACAGGTGAATCGGCAAATAACCAGGCTATTCATCCTCCTCCTGCTGCCATCCAGCCTGTGGCATTTTTCAATCCCCAACAGGCAGGAAGCGTTCCACCCAGTGGTCCAATAAACTTTTTCAATCCCACTGCGGCACCACCAAGTATTTTTGATCCCTTCAAGCAAGCGGAAAGTGCCACAGCCTCCCAGCCTACTCAGGGGGCTTCTACGGTTTTAAGCAGCAGGCCTCCCTCACAGCCGGGACAACAGCCTCCACCTTCCGCTTCTTCTGTGCCATTGTTCACTCCATCCACTGATAACCAGTCTGGAGTAAACTTTTTCAATACCTCGGCAGCAGCAGCTCCACCAACAATATTTGATCCCTTCCAACAAAATAGCAATTCAGCTGAACCAACCCGTCCAGCCAGGCCATCATCTAGACCCTATAACACCTACAGTGAGGCAGTTCCACAGGCATCTTCAGATCAACAGCAATTGAGACCACCATCTGCTAGTAGCCAACCTCCATCTCAGGTAGATCAATCGGCAACTTCGGATTCGATTACACAACCCATTCCTGAGGGACAAACATCTGCGCCACAGCCAACTGTGCAATTTTTCAATCCCTTACTGGTTCCAGCTGTTAGCCAGCCATCGTTGACACCAACCTCTAGTTCAGCTGAAACTCAACAGCCTTTGAGACCACCATCAAATCAAGCTCCCACATTATCCGATAATTCAGCATCACAAGTTCCAGCTACTTCTGAACAGGCCAACCCAACTCCTGTTCAATTTTTCAATCCTTTGCAGGTTCCACCAACATCCTCAACTTCATCTACTGGAGGTCAACAGCCATTGAGGCCACCTTCAACATCGGAAGTCAATCCAACTGGTCAATCGGCAGCGGCTAATCCAACTCCTGTACAATTTTTCAATCCTCTGCAGGCTCCATTGGGAATTACACAACCAACATCAACCACTGCAGCTCAACAGCCTTTGAGGCCTCCATCAAATCAAGGTCCCACACTAGGTCCTGACAATTCATCATCACAAGTTCCTCAACAGGCAACAGCTGCAGATTCAACACCTGTTCAGTTCTTCAATCCTTTGCAAGCTCCAATTGGAGTTCCACAACCTCCACAAACTGCTATTCCACAGCCATTAAGACCACCATCTTCAAATCAAGTTCCACAAACATCAGATCAGGTCTCCCAGCCACCATCTTCCGCCCAAGCCGCGCCAGTTCAATTCTTCAATCCCTTACAGGTTCCCTTGGGAGGGCATCAAGCACCCCCAACATCATCCCCAGCTCAAGAACCATTGAGACCACCATCAGCATCAAATCAGGAACAGCCACCAATAACTTTCTTTAATCCACTTCAACAACCCACAACAGGAGTTGTTCCACCAGTAAATTTCTTTAATCCTCTACAGCCAAGTTCCGCTCCTGCTACTCAACCACCTGCAGGATTCTTTGATCCATCTCAAGCCCCTCAAGCAACACAATTTTCTGCACCACCAACTACTGGAGGTTCTACACTACCTCCGCCAAGTGGAAGTTCTGCATTAGCCCCACCAGCAACTGGAGGATCGGCATTACCCCCTCCACCTTCCGGTTCCACATCATATCGTTTACAGAAAGGCACCAAACTCTATAAAAATCCATTAACAAGCCAAGAAACAGCTCCAGCTCACACCCTACCCAATCCTGTGTATGGAGTAGCAGGTGGATTTGCCACTGGACCACAAACATTTAATCAAAATTCGGTACCACCACAGCCATCAACTCAGTATCTCTATCAACCCTACAATCAAGGTTTCCCTGGCCCAGCATTAACTCAGGTGGCCAACGTATTTGTAC